ACCCAAGGCATGGAGGATTTCAGTAATTGCATCTCCCATTGCCAACTTGTCTCACTTGAACCCACTGGAGGCCTTTTCACTTGGTCTGGGGTCAGGAGCCAAGGCAGAACATGGAGAAGACTTGATAGAGCTCTTATCAACCTCCCAATCATAGCTCATTTTGATGATATCACTCTTAAACACCTTGCCAGGTTCAACTGTGACCATAAGCCCCTCCTTGTTCAATGCATCCAAAAGGATTACTCTGGACCTAAACCTTTTAGGTTTCTGGATTGCTGGACTTTTCATGACTCATTTCAAACCTTTGTCAAAGATACTTGGGATGGTTTTCCTACCACAGGAGGGATGAGAGGCATGGCTAACAAACTCCAGGCTATGAAAAAGGCTCTCAAAACTTGGAATAAGTTAGTCTTTGGTAACACTCATAGCAACCTTATAGCAGCTGAGGAAGCAGCGTCCCAATCCCAGGCAGATTTTGAGCTCAACCCCACAGAGCAGAACAGGGAAGCTATGCAGCAGGCCAACGCAAAATTTATCCTAGCCACCAACCTAGAGGTCCAATATTGGAAACAAAAAGCCAATATCAAATGGATGGATAAAGGGGACTCCAACTCCAAACTTTTTCAAGCCTTTGTCAAAGGTAAGAGAAAGAAGCTTACCATTTCTCATATTATTGGCTCCAATGGAAAAGGTTACTACAACCTTGATGATATCAAAAAAGAAGCAGTGTCATACTTTACTAACACATTCAAGAAAACCCATCATCCTTCAGTTGATCCCATTCTTCCCCTCATCCCCCTTGTTCTCTCCCAAGAAGACAACTCCTCCTTCAGCTCCTTACCAACCTTGGAAGAGGTTAAACAAGCTGTTTGGGACCTGGATGATACCAGTGTTGGAGGTCCCGATGGTTTTAATGGAAAATTCTTTAAAACCACATGGGACACCATAAAATTGGATGTACTGAGTGCCTCACAGGAGTTCTTTTTAGGTGTCCCTATTCCAAAGGCCTATGGTAGCACCCTTTTGACCCTCATTCCGAAAACTGAAAACTCCAAGAAGTTTGACAACTTCAGGCCCATCTCTCTTTCAACTTTCATGAGCAAGATCAACACCAAGCTCCTGGCCAATAGATTAAGCATCTTCCTTCCCAAACTTTTGTCCCCAGAACAGGCAGCATTCCAAAAAGGCAAATCCATTGATGATCATGTGCTTATGGCAGAGGAGGCTATTCATCTTTTAGACAAGAAAGTATTTGGGAGTAACCTCATTCTCAAAATTGACATGGCAAAAGCTTTTGACAGGTTGGACTGGGATTATCTTGAGAAAATCCTGGCTGCTTTTGGTTTCAACTCTCACTCAATC